TCTTTATCTTGGACAACATCTGACTCTCAGGCACCACCCTAGCAGAGTCCAGCTACATCCCCACAACATTACTGACCTTGTGGATCAGGTTATTTAGTCTGTTTGCATCTGTCAGTGTCAGAGGGAGAGTTCGCCCAGGGCGCCAAACAGGCTAGGACTGCCACTTCTGATGGGTCACATATCAGTGAAAAGTGAAATATTTCACTTCTCCTCAAAGTGAGAAATCAGATTCAAGCACTGGTGTAGTTTGAGTACTTTCACACAAAAAGTTAAAGCTGTTGTGTTGATATTTAAAGTGCTTTGATTATTTTTGGATAACAAGAGAACAGCCCTGAAGGAAAAAAGCACATAAACAGAAACTGACTTCATATAATTCAGTTTTTTGAGCAGCTGAAAGTAGTTACAAGCTAAATCCTCTTTTGTCTAAACACATCACTTCCTGCATCTGTTACAAATTAAAAGCCTTTGTACGAACACTTCGATTGGATGTCTTACATAGGGTTTTATTGTGAAGCACTTACAGGAACTTGCAGTAGGAGCATGAGATGAAATAGAAATGCTGTGCAGTCTATATAAAGGTTAAAAGTTACAGAGATTCACGTAAAGATGATCGTGAATCCTTTTGATTCTGTTAAAATCATTGTGATGGTTTTAATATGACTGATTATTGATTAATGATCAGGTTTGTTGTTGATCAGCTGTAAAACACGAAGCCTGCCAGACGTTTATTTGAGTTATGTGACCTTCTTTGTTATTACGCACGCGTTTCTGATCCCACCCACAGACTGTTTTTGTTCGTCCTCATGACAAAAACAGTCCTCAGAGCGCGAGGCTGAGAACAAACCCACCTGTCATGACACTCGGGAGTTTTATTTTCAAATCGAACTTCGACATCGTCCGGATTAGAATTAGGATAAAGGGATAAGGGATGTTCTGTTCCCATGAAATCTCACCAGCCTTGGATATTTAGCGAGCTTGAAGAGTCGGGTCAGCAGAACAATGAGGCGGAAATGTCTCTGCTGGGCTCACCGTGACTGCAGGTGAGCGTTAACTCATTTTGACTCCATCAGTGTCATACAGGAGCTTTCTTCATATTTATCATATGAACGCGTCTTTAAGTGGACCTCGTGGCCTCACTGCACAAAAACAGTTACTGACACGAAGTGGTTGAATGTGGTTTTTTTTCTTTCTTTTTGTTTGTTTGTTGCTGTTTGTCTGTGTCTGTTTGTGCACGCTCACATAAAAAGTGGGTGTTTTGCTTTCCCCTTCCTCCGCCCGTAACACACTATTTGGGCGCCGCCTGAATCAGAGTGAGGACAGCTTACATATAAATTAGACATGAGACCAGCAGCAGCTATGAACACTCAGTGCGCCAATTATTTCAGATGTGAATAAGTAAGAGCTGGAACTTTAGTTTGGATCTGCTGCTCCGTGCGTTCAGGTCTGACGCTGATCAAGAATGAAAGAAACTTGGACTGGAACCCTTTAGTCTCTGTCTCTTACTGATTGAAAGTTATCGGTGATAAAGATTCTCTACATGTAACTGAATACTTTCCTGAGCTGCATTCTAGCAGCTGCAGTTCCAGACTTGAAGGCATCAGGACCAAATATGGGTGCCAAAACGAATTAAATTAATACATAATTAATGAGAACATCAATGGACATTTAATTATTTATATATTTGTTTCATTAAATCATAATCAACTAAAGCAGATTTATTTCACCTGAAAATGATTTTTTTCTGTTCTGATGGGGGAAGGGAGAAGAATTCAGTTGAGCTTCCTGTTAATCCACTGGTGAACTGTCACATTTAAAAGTCTGAAAAGGAAATCGGAAATCAAAGTTTTTGGGGTTTTTCTATTGATTTGTTGACTTTTTTCTGTCTGAAATGTCATCCATTCTTCATTGCATTTTTAAAGTGCGGATTAGGCTATATATGGTTCTACTTTCCGGTGTGACTGTAAGTTTAAATAGTTTCGTTTTTAAAGTGACTCACCCTCGCTATAAAAGCTGGTAGGTCTGGAATGTGAGCTGCTTCTTTCTGTTCTGGTCAGGGCTGCTATAATCTTCTCTCCTCTGGCTTGTCACAGATGGCTTTTGTCAGATTTCTCCTGTTTTTGTCACTAATTTCTGTGTCTGCAGGTGAGTCAAACAGTTTTTTTTCCTTGCTTATTCTTTCTGTAACTAAAGGTAGTTTTATAAATGAGCGAGTTCTGTTCGTGTCTCATGTTCCATTTAATTTACGTAAAAAGGTTATTGGCTCCCAGTGTAAAGGTGATAAACTCACTCTCGCTTAACAGGTGAAATCTCGCTACTAGGTTGTGACCACTTTGTGACAACGGGATGGTCAAAAGACTTTTTTTTTTTTAATCCGGCTAATGCCGCGGTCCTAGTCGGAAGACGGGATTTGCGAGAATGAGCGCGTCATCAGGAAACTATTGGAATGAGTGGAATGAGGTTCGGCTGATTGCAAATGACAAAGGAATTAAACTTTCTCATTTCGTAATTGGTTAAAATAAATAAATAAACAAATCATTGATAAAAAATGGGTTATAGATCACATCGTAGTACATGCATTACTTTTAACTGCAAACTTTAAATGTAATTATTTTCTTCATTGAGCTGTGAGGAAAAAATAATAGTAATTCTTGAAGACTTTTAGAAAGGATAAAGGGACTGAGAATCAACTATGACAGCATCAGAGTTCACAAGTGCACCTTTGGGTAAATATATAATAATTAGCAAACATCCACACAGCTGTAGTTGGCAGATGACTGGTTATCATGTGTCAGGCTTGCTTCTTATTATAGAAAGAAACTTTGGGGGTTTCAATAGATGCATGTTTTTACTGTGTGTTTTGACGTTTTCTTAATATTTAATTAATTCAAGTGTGTAAAGCTGTAATAAAAAAACTAAATCACACTTTTGTTCTGTATCCTTCCTCCACTGTCTACCTTGTTGATGGTTGTCCCTGTTGCTCGCTCAGAGATAACAGTATACATGTTTGGACGGAGAGAAACAGTTGGATTACTGCAAAAATATATATATATATCATACTTTAACTATAGTTTACATTTGTTAAAAAGTGTAAGTAAATCAAATCCAACTAAAAGCAATACTTTGAAAAGTTTACATTCCTTGAGAACACCACAGCATTGGGAAACTCAATATTACAAGTGATGTTGAAAACAAGGAGAGGACAATTCTTGGAAATCA